TTTCCCTTTCCTGAAGGCTGTTTCTTTGCAGTGAACCATCTCTTTTGTTCAGAGACATGAACTGAAGCAGATCAATGATGTAATCCTGAGCTGACCCGGCTCTGTGGGACTCTCCCCTCCACCAGCAGCCTTGTTTAGAACCTGTCTTATAAATCAGCAAGGGCAAGGGAAATTTAAAGTTTCAGTCTAATCCCAGCTCATGCAATAGCTGTGACTTGGGATTTTACCTTCATTTCCTCATTTTTTTTTTATTAATTTTCTCAATTTTGAAGACTTTGAAGCCTCAGGGCTCTGCAAATTGGGTTCACATTTGTGTAGCCAGATGAATCTGGCAACGAGGGCAGCCCTGCTGAATCCAACCCAAACCTTCATTAGCTGTTAAATTGAAGATAAAGTTTGTGTTAATGGAGTGGGGCTCAATGAGGTAATGCCATCAACTCAAGCCTGAATTCAAGGTTCTATTTAAAACAGGATTCTTTTTTTCCTATGCAAGCTTATTTTTTAAAATCCAAGTACTGGTTCTAACTTGATCCCTGAAACTCTTCAGCATTTCTAAACAGCATTTTGAGCAGATTCCTTATAAATAAATAAGGGGAATATATTTAACAAGTTGAATTTGGAAGGCAGGCTTTATTATTTCCATGCTAATGAGAGCAGCCAGTTTTATATTCATGTTTATATAGGACAAGAGAGATTCTTCAGACTCTGAGCCTGGGATTTGCCCAGGCAGGGAATTGTTTGCAGTGCCATCAGGAGAGATCCTGTGCCCAGAGCTCAGTTCTTTAACCTAAACTAAGAAATCCTTCTTTCCCAGGTACCTTTCCTTCCAAACCTTGCAGGATCTTTGTGGGTTTGTTTCCTGTGTTTTCTTGGAAGAGGGTGACATGTGGAAAAGAGGTGCCTTGAGGAGCTGGATAATGTGATGATACAAAGCACTTGTGCAAGTGCTGTTGCCATAAATTACCTTTGATTATTCTGCATCTCTTCCATCTGTTCCCTTTTCCTCTTGTCAGACAAACGTGGTGGAACCAGGAGCTCTTTTTAATGATGACTTCTTGTTCTGAAAGTGGGGAAGGAATAATCAGTATTGTGTGCCTGTGCCTATTGCCAAATCCCCCAAATCCTCACCAGGAACACATCTCCCATCCAGGTATTGATGCATTCCCTTAGCAAGAACCAAAAAACTGGGTGGAGGAGAGGGGGTTTTTTTCCAAAAAAAAAAAAAAGAAAACAAACAAACAAAAACAAACAAAAAAACCAAAACAAAAACCCCCAAACAAAACAAAAAAAAACAACCCCAAAAAACCCAACAAAACCCCCTTAATCTGTGGATTTAGGATCAGCTGTAATAAGGTGGCTTTGCTGACTGGGGGAATTTTGTCCTGCCTGGATGGAAGTTGAGCAGTCAAAGGGAATAGCTGACTTTGTTGTTGTGTTTTTAATATTATACATAAGGAAAAAACCCTGTAGCTGATGTTGATACATATCATGTGCACTCAGATACTTTCTGATATTTGAAAATGGCTTTGTTTGTTTCCTGTCACTGACTTGATAAATTGTAACAAGCCCAGTCCTTTTTGCTGGTGAGCTCTTTAATTTTTAGAGGTGATGTTTTACACCTGGAAGAATACTGAGAATTCATTTTGCATTCTTGTAAGGTCTGGAAGTGTTTCCACTTCAGAACAGGGGTCCAGGAGTGGGAAACTTCCAAAAAGAGACATTTTACATCTCACATCTTCCTCGTTCTAGTTTTAGAAACAGGTGCCAACTTTAAGGTAATTACTTTAAAGAATTTAAAAATCTCTGGAAGGTAATTTTTATGGTGATATTGTGCTTTCACCCTGTCACTTCTTAGCAGGTTGGAAACCTCTAGTGTGGATTTTTGCCACTCCATCTGGGTTGGGAACAGCCAAAGCCCTGGGAGATGGATGGAGTGCTCAGAGGGCTTCTCTGGGGGTGCAGGTGGAGTCTCAATTCCTGCACAAATAATTGGAATTATTTGGTGTATTTGGCTGCAACTTGCAGCTGTTTGTGTGCAGCTCCAGCAAATGTGAGGCTTTGTTTTTAACAGCTCGTGGCAGTGCCTGAGCTGGTGTGAAACCCGAGGCAGTGCCCCCCACCCACAGCTGTAACTCTGCCCTCACTTGCTTCCTCAGGGCCCTTTCTCAAATAGCTGCTCAAAATTGTAAATATCCTGGAGGCCCAATCAGGTGGAACTGGGCTTTCCACGCTGGGCAGTTGGCTGTGATGCTCCCCTCGGGCTCCTGAGCTGCTTTGGGAGGGCTGTTATCCAGACAGGAGGGGACAAACCAGATATGTTCCTGTTTGTCTTCCTCAGTGTCTGCCATTCCTGGGTGCTCCCTGCAGTAGGAGTTGAGTTGTGATTTTCTGTCTGTTTAGTTTGCTGGGTTTCGTGCCCTGTGGGGGTTTAGTTGTTTGGTGTTTTGTTCAGAGAATCACAGAATCTCCTGAGTTTGCAGGGACCCACCAGGATCACCCAGCCCAACCCCTGGCCCTGCACAGACACCCCAACAATCCCCCCTGTCCCTCAGAGTGTTGTTCAAACCCTCCTGGAGCTCTGGCAGCCTTGGGGCTGTGCCCACTGCCCTGGGGAGCCTGGGCAGTGCCAACCACCCTCTGGGGGAAGAACCTTTGCCTGAGATCCAACCTGACCCTGCCCTGACACAGGCTCCAGCCTTCCTGGTGGCTGTCCGTCACAGAGCAGAGGTTGGAGCTGCCCCTTTGCTGCCCCTCGTGAGGAAGCTGCAGCCCCCCAGGAGTTCTGCCCTCAGTCTCTGCTCCAGCTGAACAGACCAAGGGATGTTCCTTTTCCTGGTGAGACTTGGGAGAGAGAATTTTGACTCGGAGTTAAGATGAAATGATTCAAATTCCATCCCCCTCTGGACTATAAAATGTGCTTATTAACGTGTTAAGAGATGAGAGAGAGATCAAGAAATAGCAAAAGTGAAAACCTTAAATTTTTTCAATACTCTTCCCCTTTTTTACTGGATTTTTGCCTCCATCCCCTCTGATGGGATGAGAACCAGACTCTGTCCGTGCCTCACCTTGAACAACTCCAGGTTTTCTCCTTGCTGGAAGGAACCAGGCCTGTGTTTGTGTCTGCCCTTTGTTGATCCTGGTGGTGAAGCTGCCTGTGCTTTAACGTGGGCCTTCTTTAAAAAAACCACCACAAAACACAGCCCAACAGCCACACAAACCCATCTCACAGAACCCCTTTACATTTCCTTTAAATTCCAGAGCTCCTTTTTGGAGGGATACATGAAATCTTCAGGGTGTGGGTGTGAATGCACAGGTCTGCTCAGCCCAGTGTGGAGCCTGTTTTTTGTGGGGTGAGGAGGAGAAGGAACCTCTGTCCCTCTGAACCCCTGTGTTGCTGCTACAGCCATGCCTTGCACAGTTTGCATTCCCAAAAACCTTTCACTGACAAGTTGTGCTGCCTTTAGCTCAGTGTTTTGTTGTCTCCTGCTTGAATCCATGTTCAAGTGGGGTGCCCTTGAGTTAGTGTTTGTAGGGAGGAGGAGCATGGTTTGCTCCAAGAATTACTCCTTAGGAGTTTCCTGGGAGTTCCCTGGTGTTCCCTGGATTTTCCTGCTGTTTTCAGCCTTACCCCATGTCCAGTGACCTTCTATATTCATGTTTTAAGGTTTTTAATTCAGTACTGGAGATATAATTGCTGTTGGCTGATAGAAATTCTGGAAAACCTCCTGCACAAAATCCAGAAATTACACCAACACATCACCTTGTGCCTCTAATTTGGGGGAGAACTTGAACTCCCTGGATTTGTACCTTCCCCAGGCCCTGTTTCCCTGGGATCTCTCTTTGTGACAGGACTCTGCTGGGAACTTGGATGAGACTTAAAAGCAGCAATTTGCAGGGTCTTGTTTTCTCAGCCTGCTCATTTTATTCCAACCTTCTCCAGGTGTTTTTAGCATTAAATAATGTCCAGGTCCTTTATCCCCTGGCTCTGGTGTGAGGAGCACGTTTCCTGAGTGATGTGACACACGGAATGTGTGACATCTGCCTCGCTGGGACACCCTCTGAGCTCCTTCCAAACCCTCTGGGCAGCTTCCTGGGAGCATTCCCAGACCCACCTTCCCTGCAGAGTCACCTGGAAAGGAAAACCTCCCTGCCCCTGTGGCACTGAGGGCAAAGCAGGGCCTGAATTCCTGGTGACTTCCTTCTGCTGGCAGAGGCTGTGACTGAGCCCTCAGGGAGGTGCTCAGGCCTTGTCTCCCTGGACATTTTCCACTGCTGGAAAACGAGGGGTGGGCAGGGGAATTGCTCAGTTGTGGTGCCAGAGAGGTGGAGAAAAGGCTCTGGATGTGCTGCAGATGCTGCTCAGCACCAACACTCAGCTCTGGACTTGTCCCCCCAGGTGCCTTTTGATCCTCGTGGCAACTGTTGGCCAGGTCAGGGAATTCAACTGGTTCAGTCCTTGGAGCTGCTGGGACTGACTGACCAGATCTGAGGGGTTTGTTCAGCAGGGTTAGTGTTCCATGGACACAGGAAAGTGTCTTTGGGGGGTTTGTTCAGCAGGGTTAGTGTTCCATGGACATGAGAAAGTGTCTTTGGGGGGTTTGTTCAGCAGGGTTAGTCCCTCCACTTTGGGGGGGGTTGTTCAGCAGGGTTAGTCCCTCCATGGACATGAGACAGTGTCTTTGGGGGGTTTGTTCAGCAGGGTTAGTGTTCCATGGACCCAAGAAAGTGTCTTTGGGGGATTTGTTCAACAGGTTAGTCCCTCCATGGACATGAGAAAGTGTCTTTGGGGGGGTTGTTCAGCAGGGTTAGTGTTCCATGGACATGAGACAGTGTCTTTGGGGGGTTGTTCAGCAGGTTAGTCCCTCCATGGACATGAGAGTGTCTTTGGGGGTTTGTTCAGCAGGGTTAGTCCCTCCATGGACATGAGAGTGTCTTTGGGGGGTTGTTCAGCAGGGTTAGTCCCTCCATGGACATGAGAGTGTCTTTGGGGGTTTGTTCAGCAGGGTTAGTCCCTCCATGGACATGAGAGTGTCTTTGGGGGGTTGTTCAGCAGGGTTAGTCCCTCCATGGACATGAGAGTGTCTTTGGGGGTTTGTTCAGCAGGGTTAGTCCCTCCATGGACACGAGAAAGTGTCTTTGCAGTATCATTTTTTCCCTCCTTTCTGACTTGTCTTTCTTGGGAATGAAGTCTCAAAGCTCAGGATGTTTTTGTGTGGAGTGTTCTCCACAGGATCTTTCTCCTTTTTTCCCTCTGGTGTTTCTCTCACTTCAGGACCTGGACTGTGTTGTCTGGCTGTGCCTTGTCTGTGTTGGTATTTCTGTTCAGCGGGAGTGTTTAGATTGGAGATTAGAACAGCAAAGCACAGTAATAAATCTGACAGTGAACTCTCTGGAGCCTGATATGGAAAGGAAAGGAAAATAAATGTGTTACCTGTTTGAAATCTGTGCTTTATAGAGGAACTCAGCTGCCTTTTAGTACTTTATGGAGGTGTATCTTGTAAACCTGAATGGTTCTAAACACATTTAGCTGCCTCAGGTCTCTCTCCTTGCCCAGTGTGTAACTCAAAGGTTTGAAAATCAGAGGAGTGTTTGCCATTTTTGGAACTGCTGCAGCCACTGGTGCCAAGTGCTGTGGAAGATGTATAATAAACCAAGCTCCAAACTGAGCTTCACTTTATGCTCAGTTTAATTTGCTCATGTCCTGGCTCTGGAGCTTTCTGCAGCCTGAATTCTCTTCTTAGCATTTATAGGCTATTCTGTGTGATGGGGGTCTGAAATTCTGAGCCCATCCTGACTTTTGCACTCTTAGAAGTGCTCTGATGTGTTATTTAATTGTGAAGGTGCTTTTTTTCGGTGCACTGTGAAGCTGAGAAAGTTGTAGCATTTCCTACATTCCTGGGGGGTCTTTATTTGGAGCAGCAATTTCAAAATCAGACAATAGCAGCCATGAAATCCTCCTGTGATGTCAATTCCAAAAGAAAAATAGTATTTCTAGAAGATGCTTTGCTTTCAGCACTTTGGGTTATGTCAGAATAACGTGCAGAGAGTCCCACAGATTATTTTTGAGTGCCTGCAGTCTTAATGGAGGAAAAATCTACAACCACTTGGCTTTTACCAGAGGTGTTTGTTGTAAAATACCTCGTGTGGGGGGAAAATAAAACACAAACATCAGTCAGCAGAAAATAAAGATATTTTATCTAAAGGTTTCCTCTCAGCAGCTGGAGAAAATCTCATAATTTCTGCAGTAAAACCCCAATACATCCAACTGGGAATATGAAACCAGGGAACCTGATGCCATGAAATCAAACCAGAATTCCTCTGATTTTATCAGATGCCTGTCGGTGCTCTGAAAAAAACTGTGTTACTTGATTGAGTTTGGGGGAAATTGTGAGTGAAAGCATCTCTTGTCAGCTGAGAAATGAGAGTCCTCTGGCAGACAGGAAAAGGTTCCATCCTCAGCTGGGATATTGCTGGGAACAAACACACTCAGAGCCATGGAAGGAGCTGGGAGGAACAAGGACTGCTGAAGTAGAGCAGGATTTTCTCCCTTAACCTAAAATCTGGGAAGAACAGCGTGACCTGCCCTAAGGAGGCTGTTGGCCTCTTTTTTTGTTTGATGGTTTTACTGCTCCTTTCGTGGTCTGAACTGTAAAAGAAATCCAGAGGGAAGGAGCCCTGTTTGCTTCCCGTGGTTTATTGGATCTGAGTGGTTTGTAATGCTCATTTTTCCCTGAAGAAATGCTTGGGGGGGGGATGTGGGGGGGTGGTCTTTGCTGAAAAGGTACCTTTGGAGATTCAGGAATATTTGTGTTCACGTTTCTTTTGGCAGGAGCAAATTGGCTGTTGGATTTTTTTGTTATGATTTGATTGTGGTTTCGTGTAAAGCTTGGCATGGAAAAGCTTCTGTGTGAGACAGGAGTGAAGAGGCTGAATCTCTGCTCCCTGAAAAAGGTGGATCTGGCTGGAAAGTCATGAGTGGAGTGTCAGGAGGCAATAAATAGGGAATAATGACCTCCCACAAGTGACAGAGAGTATTTGGAGAGCTGTTGCACACAGAGGTGCTCCAGCTGGGAGCCCCACACTCCTGGGAGTCTCAGACAATTTGCTGCATCAGTAGAGCTTTTAGATGGACTTTTTCCATACTTCTCCCTACCTGGATACAGGACAGGAGACAGGGCAGTAGGTCAGCCAGACATTTGGCTGCCTGTACAGCATTTTAAGTCTCCAGGTTGTGGGTTTGTGCTGTTTTGGCCAGGCAGTGCTGTGACTGAGAGCCCCACAGTGTGTCCTTTAAACACGAGAGCTTTCAGAAGGGAAGGGGAGAATGACTGAAATTTCTGCTGTTTCGTGCTAGTTTTGGTGTGGAAAGGAGCATTTTAGGGGTTGAACATGAAGAGTCTGTCAGAGAGGGAGTAACTGGAGCAGAAAGACTCACCCTACCTCGCTGCAGGACGTCAGAGCTGTCGCTGGGAGAGAGAGCAGGAGGCAGCTGAAGCACATGCAGGCAGTCCTTGGAGTCTTAACACCACCCTCATGGTCCTTTTATGCTTAAATATTGGCTTTTGCACTGCTGAGAGGGCAGTGTGGGCACAGCAGTGTGGGATGAGCCTTTGGGAGCCCTGGCAATCCTCCAGGGTGGCTGCAGGGAGTTGGCTGGTGGGTTCTTTGTCCCCACCACAGGTCACAGCAGGGGAGGGAGGGCTGGCAAACCCAGCAGCCCTGGGGGCCTGGAAGAACTCCTGTCTCTCCCAGGAGGCCTGGGGGTGGGAATTCTTGGTGCTGAAGGATCAGCTGTGCCCAGGGGAGGACCCCAGAGCCAGACTCCATGTCCTCAAATCCCAGAATCCCATTAGGGTTTGGGGTGGGAAGGACCTTAAAGACTGTCTAATTCCAGATCTAGGTCGAGGTCTCACTGCCCTCTGCACCAGGGTGTTCTCTAAGTGATGTGCAAGAATTAAACCCACTTTTATTGTTTTTATTTAATTTATTAATGAATTTATTCAATTAAAATTTCATTTCTCTTATTTAATATTTATTATATTACATTAAAACACTTTTTTATTTACACAGGACTGATTCCCCCCCCCCTTTATGACTTTTGAATAGCAAAAAGGTTAAAATCCAGGGAGCTGCTGTTTGTTGGTGCAGGGGGAGGGTTTACCTTTAAAAATACAAATGTGGGACATGTAAATAAAACACTGGAGTTGTTTTATAGCAAAGGCTCTTCTGGCCTTTGACCTTTCTCCAGAGAAATTTTGGACTTTGGAAATGCAATAATAATCCTTTGTAAGTGATCCAGGACTCTAAAATGGTTAAATCTTAGAGGAAAAAACAGGGAGATAACACACAGTCACACTCCCCAACTGCCTGAAAGTTCTTAAATCCTTGAAATCTGTGAATGGGCAGATTTCCTGTGCCTCAGAGCTGCTGTGAGGAGACAGCTGTGCCAAACAGCTGGAATATCCAGAGGGATTTGACCCAAAAATACCACAATTAGACTCCTGGAAGCTCGAGCTAAAGCACCTCCCAGCCTTGTTGCCTTTGGCAGGAGGTGGATTTTTGGAAGGGGGGAGTGGAGGGGTGACAGGTGACTGTGTTAATAATACTCTAATGTTATTAATAATAATTAATAATAGCAGAGTATTCCAGCCCAGGCTGGAACCTTGTCCTGCAGGGCTGTGAGATTTCTCTGCAGCCCCTTGAATTTTCCTGTCTCTTAGTCCCTAACACCCAATTTAAACTCAGAATTCTTCTCATCTGCAAGGTGTATTCTGACAAATCCTACTTGGAATTAAAGAGCATGTTTTTTTTTTCCCTCCCCCTGTGTCCTTTGAATCCTTTAAAGGCTCTATGTGTCCCCAAGGAAGTCTGCAGAGGAGAAAACATCCTCCCCCTTGAAGTGGTGCCGGCAGGTGCTGGATAACCCCAGCCCCGAGATCGAGGCAGCCTGCAGGACCCTCATCAACAGGCTGGACCAAGGTAACCCCAGCTGGGCTCTCTTTGCAGTGTGCTCACAATCACAGCTGCCAAAGGGATCCCCCTGCTTTCAGGCTCCGGAGTTTTTAAAGGTTGGAATATTGAAATGTTTCGAATGGGGAAAAAAGAAATGTGTGAAGGAAAAATAAGGCTTTGGGGGAGAGGGGGAGGGAATGCCAGGAAACTGGGATTGCAGCTTTTTTCCTTAGGAGAAGTCCTAATGTTGTTGGGTGTTTCTAATGGTTCTCTCCATTTCCCCCTTTTTGCCTCCCTTTTTGCCTCCCCCTTTTTGCCTCCCCTTTTGGCCTCGCCCCTTTTTGCCTCCCTTTTTGCCTCACCCTTTTTGCCTCCCCCTTTTTGCTCCCCCCTTTTTTGCCTCCCCCCTTTTTGGCCTCCCCCCTTTTTGCCTCCCCTTTTTGCTCCCCTTTTTGCCTCCCCTTTTTGCTCCCTTTTTGCCTCCCTTTTTTGCCTCCCCCTTTTTGGCCTCCCCCTTTTGCCTCCCCTTTTGCCTCCCTTTTTGCCTCCCCCTTTTTGCTCCCCCCTTTTTGCCTCCCTTTTTGCCCCCCTTTTTCCCCCCCTTTTTGCTCCCCTTTTTCCCACTCCCCTCCTTTCCCCCTCCTTTTCCCTCCCCTTTCCCCCCTTTTCCCTCACCAGCTGTTAAGGATAAAACAGTTGCCTGCTGCTCCAAGCTCACACTAACGAAATATTCAACTTGAAGAAATTGTATCACTTGCAAACCAAGTTTGTCTTCCAGTTTTATCAGCCCCTAAAAGCACTTCCTGGTGGTTTGGGCTGTGTCCCTTAATCCTGAGGGGAAATCCAGACTGCCTGGAATGAAAACCTGGAGTGTTGTGTTGGGTGGTGACATCCCATCACCACACTCAGCCTTTGGGGTTTGCTTTTCCAGAGCCTGGAAGGATCCATCCCATGTTGGCCTTTCCCTGGTGGAAGAGCTGTTAAAACTGTTGCAGGGTTTTCTTTAGGGCAAAACTGAGTTTATTCTGTTCCTCCCTCTGAACTGCAGCAGTGGGATGCAGCTGCTGGACATCCTTTGTCCTTCCCCATGTGGGTAAGAGGGGCTGAAATCCTGAGAGCCAAGGCCACTGAGGGCTTGGGAGGGTTTCTTTGGAAGTTTGGGGCTGTTCTTAAGTGCTGGAAACACAACTCCCAGCTTGTTGTCCAGGGCTTTGATACTGGATTTGTCTCTGTGGGAATGCAGGAATTCTGATTTCCCTTGAACCACTCATTTGACCTCAGGGATTTCGAGTCTCAGGTCGCTGGTTTGGGGGTTTGGGTTGGTTTTTTTCCCTGCTAACAGTGTCTGGCACTGTTTGTGCTCAGGCTTCTTTTGAGTTTAACCTTGACATTCCTGAGTATACTTTGAGAACAAACTTCATTTGCTTTTATAAACCATCTGCACTTAGAAACTTGAATGAAAATCCATTTAACCACCTCTCTGCTTTCTGTCTGAAACATTCCAGGCTTTAGTTGTGCTTTATTACTCTTTGTAACTAAAATCCTCCTGACCTATGTGGTAGAAATCAAAAAGAAAATGTATTTATGTGGTGAATCTTCATTATTTTCTTAGCTGATATTCTCAGAGTGGGGAGAGCTGAGTGCTGTGGGCAATTCAGCAGCTCCTTGGATCTATCCAGATCACAGTCTCCACATGTGGAATACACAAATATATCCACAGATATATTTTCTTTAGTAGTGTAGCTGCTCTTTCCACCTCCACTAAGTATGGATGCACTAACTTTTGCTCCCAGGCTTCTTTGGCTTGTATCATGACCATGTGAGTGTGTGTGCTGAATAAATTTAACTCCAGCAGTTGGTTTTCCACATTAATTTGCTCTCCTTTAATCCAAAGGCACAGTTTTGGTAGTTCAATGCTGCCTCCATTCCATCCTTACAGCTTCAGAGTAATAAAGTTCCAGGAGTTCTTTAAAGGGAAGCTGGGGAGTAGAACTGGGAAATATTGATGGAAACACTCATCTGGGAAGCCCAGCACTGGAATTTGCTGAAACATGTGGCTCCTTTAAAGCCAAGTTTGTCAGGAATTATTCTTGGAATTCTTCAGAAGGGACATCACGTCACTGACACATCTTATTTGAATTCCCCCCCCCACCATGACAGCATTAAATCTTATTTGCTACCTCTAGATCTTGTTTCTTTATCTTACTCTGTGTTTCATAAACAGTTGGATAACCTTTTATGGCTTTTTTGTATTTTTCCTTCTAGCCAGTAGATGGAAAAACCTGTATTGCAGCCCCCTGGCATCTCCCAACTTGAATTCTGAGCCAGGCTCCTGTAGCAATGCACTAAACTCTCCTGGGCACCTCAAATCGACTAACAAAGCACTACTAACCTGTGGCAGCTCAGGTATGGCATGGCATAGAGCATGGGCTGTTTAAAATGCAAGGAGGAGCAGGGAAAAGTTGCCAAAAGATGCCCCTCCACCCGTGGGGGTTTTCTCCTTTTCGGTTCCTCACTCCCCCGGGTCGTGTCCCTTCCGTGGGAGAAAAGCTCCTTGCATTTTAAATGTCTTGGAGTCGGTTCTTCTTTGGGATTTTAGAACTTTCTCTCTCTGTATATTTAAATTGGACTAATTTTAAGGGTCTTGAAGCAGTTGGGGCAAAGGAAATGTTGCTTTTGAACGATGTTCTAGTCTGTGGGTGTTACCTTTTTATAAAGTCACTCAGTTTTCTGGTGGGAGACTTTGGGGCAGTTTCTTTTGGAAATACTGTTTTCATGCAGGTCACAGGCAGTTGTAAAAGTCTCTAGGGTAAAACTTTCAGTTGGCTGAGTGGGGCAGCTAAAAGCAAAATAAGAAAAGCTTTCCTTCAGCCTTCAATGTGTTTGGAGGAAGATTTCCTGCCTTAGAGGCAGCTCAGCCACAATTCCTCTTGGCAGGGGGGTTTGGAGGTGTGAGAATGAAGGTCCTCCAGACTGGGGGCCACAGACCCTCTTCCAGGAGCTTCATTTATTATCCTTGGTGCAGTTGCTGCTGTTTCCTGGCACAGCTGCTTTGCCTCTTGGCTTTGTCATCAAAGGAGCCTTCCCTGCTTGGTTGGTTGGTGTGGAAATTGCTAAATCCTGCTTTGCACGTTTGAAAACAAGAAAGCACATTTAACAGTCTCTTGCCTTGGAACTCGATGTGAAACGAACCTTTTTTTTACCTTCTTAAAAAGCAGAAAGGGTTGCCTGGGGGTGTTTTCACAGGTGCAGGTTTGTTTTGGGGATGTGCTGTAAACAGAAAGGAACACTTATCTCTGTTTTCCAAACAAAAGGACACACAGAGCGCTGATTTTTGCAGGCTGAACTCTGCAGGGAAACACCTCTGAGCTGATTTGTTGGGTTTAAGATGAGGTTGATGAGCAACCTTTTCACACAGAAATGGTTATCAGTGTCTAAAAACACCCCAAAACCAAAAGTGTCTGTGCAGCTTCTGGGCTGTTCACCCTGCAAATGTGCTGGTGGACAAGCAGGGACAGGCCAGGAGATAATGAGAGTTCATCTCTCAGGTGACCTGGGCAGGTGTGAAATGAGTTTCAAGTTCACCCTTCACCTGACCAACTCGAATCTGATTTTATTGCTAAGAAAAACATTCAAATGGGAAATGTTTAACAGTAATTTCCCTTAAAAACTAAACAAAACCCTTTGACAAAATCCAGATGTGGGCCCTCTGCTGAAAACCATAATCAGTTCAGCTTTACTGGAGGAAGAAAGTGAGGTTTTAGCCCCTCCTTGGCTGTTTTTAGCCAGACCTGTGGTTTGAAATGCAACAACAGAACTAAACACGTGGAGCTGAATTGGGAACTTTGCCTTTTATAAAGCTGATATTAAAAATCTGGCTGGTGGTGGTAATTCCAGCAGGAAACCTGTGCTGGTTCCTTGGGCCACATCCTAAGGGATGGCTTGATTTCAGCTGCTTCCACTGTCTTTTCCTGAGCCCAGGAAGACAGAAATGGGATTATGTGGTGGAATGTCTGGCCTCTGAGTGTGTGTTTGTGGAACACACGCTCCCAGATGGACCCTGAAGTTCCCAAAGTCACCATTTTACAGCTGGAAAAAGTGTCACTGAAAAGCTGGGAAGCTTGAAAAACCTTAACCCCAAACTATTCTTAACTCTCTAAAAATGGAAAAACTTGAAAAATGGAAAAGCTGGACAAACTTGATGCCTTTCAAACAAGGAATTTGAGGTTAATTGAGCTAATTATTCCGTGCCCATGGAAGAGATTTATTTTACACCTGGACTTACACCTGTGTTTCCCATGTCAGCAGTTACTGCTCATCCAAACTGGCTGAAAGAGTAATATTTGGAACCTGCTGCTTTGTCCTGGAATTGCCCCCAGCTGGAAAGGGCTGCTCAGGGATGGGCTGCAGAGGTTTTGCTGAGAAATGCTTTATTTTACCATTATTGAGCATTAGTGAGGGGGGGCACTGCCTGCCAGTCTGAGCACGTGGCAGGAAAACTGGGAACTAAAGGAAAAGCCAGTGGTAAATGACACCATACACTGGGAGCCTGATTTATTCCTGATTTATCTCTACTTGCTGATTTTATTTAAATGATTATTTCAGTCCCTGCTTGAGCAGGATTTACTTCTTAAGCTGAAAAAGGTGTAAAGAACTCTTGGGCTCTTGCTTTAGCTGATCTTGGGCAGATTGTGTTTTAACTTTGCTTCTTGTGGGTCTCAACCTATAAAGTACTAATTGCAACTTTGTCTTGGAGTTAATTAAGTTAATTAATGATGTCCTCTCTTCTAAAATAGCTCTGTAAGTTGTATGGTCTGTACTCACAGCCCTCCCACAGCTGAAGGACCAGTACCCCAAAGCTCAGAGCTTGTTCTCTCCTCATTTCAACAGCAAATAGCAGAACTCTTATGCCAAGGAAAAGACTGACTTGCTTGATTTAAAAGTACCAAGAGGTAAAAGTTTGCACTTAGGGATGATTGTGATGATATTTTTATTATTATCATCATCCTTCAAAAGGAAGAACTTCCCTGGTGGGAAGATCCTCCCGGTTTGGTTTTGATGAGCAAGCTGTGTCCTTCCCTGTAAGAGAGACTTTGGTTTGTGATGAGAGGAAAAAAAAAAAAGAATAAACCTCAGGAAATGGGAGGATGGGATTTAGGGTAAGCTTTACTTTGCAAAAGCAGAGGGCAGAGCTGATGATTGAGGTTCTGTCCTCTGCCCCTTTTATTCCTGGGATCGTTTTGCTCCTCTGGCCACTCACCGACACCCCGGTCAGCGCTTTGGGTCACTTTGCTGCTTGATTTCTAGATCAACAGCTGCCCTTTTCTCAAGATAAAGCACCAGTATTGCTGATATTTGAAATATATTTCTAAGCTCAAAACCCCCACTGGGGGTCCCTTTGCCACCTTCTGGGCAGAATTCCCCAGAATTCCTCCTGAAAACCGCAGGTTAATAACGGTTGTGTCCTCAAGCGATTCCCAACTCCCACCTTATTTCTCACAGCCATCCCCCAACTTCCCAAGGGCACTGGTTGATTCCTGGGCTGGATGCTGTGCTGTTTGGGGGGTTGTCTGAGTGCCTGTGTGTTCTCTGTGTCCCCCCCAGGCTACCTGAGCATGCACTCTGCGCTGAGCTCCCAGTCCTCAGTGGACAGCGAGCTGAGCACCTCGGACGACTCCATCTCCATGGGCTACAAACTGCAGGACCTCACGGATGTCCAGGTCATGGCACGCCTTCAGGAAGAGAGTAGGTGGCCCCCACCTTCTTTGTGTTACAGCTGGGCAGCTCCAGATGGATTCCAAGTCTTCTCCTCTTCTCCTTTTCCCCAACAAAACAATAATTTTTTCCCAGGGGCTTCCTGGAAAAATCTCCTCACCCAAACTGCCAACGTGGCAGTGGTACAACATCCTCCTCAAGGATTATCCAGAGTATTATCCAAACCCCCTCTCTGTCAATATGTGGATGCCCTTTGATGTTACAAATGCTCCCTGCCAGGTTGGCTCTGAAGTCCAGCTGAGGTTCCAGGAGGGACTGTGTGGTGGCAGTGGCAGTTGTCCCCTCCTTTGGGCACACACAGGTGCTGGGACTGCTCTGGGGCACTGACCCAGATGTGAAATGACCCAGCTGTGAAAAAATAACCCAGCAAAACGTTCTCCATGTCAAGATTTGATTTCCTGAGCAGCCTGAAATCAGAAGCTCTGCAGGGCTGAGCTTTACAAGCTCTTTATTTCACTTAATATACAAGTGGGTTTTCACTGCTGTGATGAGTTAAACCAGGAGTTCAGGGGTGCTAAAACTGAAAGAGCTGAATTTACAATTGAAGTTTTGCTCTGGTAAAGTACTCAGAGGCAGCTCTGCAAATTGAACTTGTTTGTGTCCCAGAGTGGGGGAATTTCAGGGCTCCAAAATCATTAAATCCCTGGGGAAGTTTCTGTTGACTTCTGGAATTTGGCTGAGGTCCTAATTGAAGAGCAAGGTGGAAAAAGGGCTTGGAGCTGTGTTTCTGTGCAAGTGAATCATTAATTTGATTTACAGGAAATAGAGAATGAAGTTCTCTGTCTTTCTTTAGGAGAACATTTACTTTCAGTACTGTGCCTTTATAAATTAAAAAAAAAATTACTGTGACCTAGGAATTTGGATATGAGAGCAAAAAGGACAAAGGACAAAAGACAGAAGATCTTGTCATCACTTTTTTGCAGCTGAGGAAAAGTTGTATTCAAGTGAATAAAGCAAATAACCACCTTTTCCTTTCTAAACTTGACCATTTTTTTATGCTTTGCAATCACTTAAAAAAAGCACCAAGGAAATCCTGCCACATTCCAAAGTTTCCCGTGAAATAGAAAATATCTTCATCCTCAGGATGATGGGAGCTTTTCCTATTTTCATTGTGAAGGGAGGGGAGTGAGGAACAGCTGCTTTTTGTTAAAGTTGCTTGTGTTTTGTCTTGAATAAAGGCATAAATTCTAAATAACCCAGATGTCAGTGCAAAACAGGGATGTTTTCATTGGAGCAGACCTTCAGATCTTTGTTTCCACCTGTTGAAATGCTGATGGGTGTGTAATTAATTGAACTAAAACACTCACCCTGGGAATTAGGCCCCCATTCCTGGTTACCCTAGTGGAGCTTGGTGGCAATATATGGTCCACAATCTCAGTTATTTGTGTGTGGGAATAAGGAGCAGTTGAGGTGCATTGGATGTTAACTCTTGACTGGAATGAAACAGGACTGATGAGGGTGACACTGACCCAGTTTAAGGATTCTGTGAGCCCTGAGTGTCTCCAGAAGGACAGTTGTTAACTTGACCCCCCTTCCAAGGTGAAATGAATCACTAGCACAGAATATTCCAAGTTGGAAGGGACCCACAAGGATCATCGAGTCTAATCCTTGTCCCTGCACAGGCCCATCCCCAGA